GAAATAGCAAAGCTTAATCTTAGAGGTGTCATACTGCGTCCTTGAGAATACTGGAGAATAAAACCGTGGAGACCAAGCCCCTTCTTCCTCTCTCCTCACATGGCTCCAGGTGAAATTCGAGAACAGAATGGAGACAGTCTCGTCCACGCAGCTTTAGTAGCAGAAAGTGCTGCCGCAGGGAGTGCAGAAGCGAACGCGTTTAGTGTCCTCCAGCATGTCCTCGGTGCTGGCCCGTATGTCAAGAGGGGCAGCAATACCACCAGCCCTCTGTACCAAGCCGTTGCCAAGGGAATCCACCAGCCGTTCGACGTGAGTCTGAGCAGCCGATAGCTCTCTCTTTGTTTTCAAAGGCTCCTTGTTTTTAATGTCCCAATTACAGTAATCTGCTCTTAAAATTTAAGGTGAACACAAAATCTTTGTAAAATTGAGGCAACAGCCAGGCTCAATTTTAGTACCTCAGTGGGTCTCTCAAAAACGTCCTGTCTTTTTCAGTTATTCTAATATGGGAAGAAGAATTGAATGCCCAAGAAGTCAGGACTTCACACTTCTGCTCCCTTCAGGGTAGTTTTAAATATTAAACTTTCCCCTATGTTCCAGGTAGTCTTTTGTTTCTAGATTTTCTTCTGTCCCCTTCTGTTGTGGCTGCTTCCTGAATTTCATCGCTCTGCATGTTTTCCAACCAAGCGTACAGATAGATACACCCCAGGAGGCTCCTCTAGCGTGAGAAACGCGAGTTGCGGAGCAGTTTCTGACATGAGGGCTGGGTGGGTCACCCGGCGCAAAGGCCGGACGCCAGGAAATTGTGATGAACAGTCATGTCACTCTGGAAGACACCTTCTTATGACAGGAAAGTGCTAACGCCTTCAAAATAATGATATTCCAACCAAGAGACTATAAAATGGCAACCAACAAAGTATCAGTGAGTGACCACTATTTGCCCAGTATACTACATCCTACTTTATCTTCAGTGATACGCCTTTAAAAAGTAACACGTGTATCAAATTGTAGGATTAAGTATTCATAACCTCAGCAACAGAAACGGCCCAGGTAGCTTCATGCTTAATACGTCTTTGGCATTTGACACAACTGCAAATTAAAACCAGCCTTCTCTCTTTATTTCTCTGTTTAATATTTGAGTGGTAGTTTAAAAATTTTTTTAGCAGAGGAGCCTTTCTTATCTGATACTGTTTCCCAGCCTCAGTGCCCAACCCAAAAGTTTTTGCTTTTCAGGAAGTATTGAAGGCTTACCTGACAGTGAAACCCTTGGGATCTGTATAGGGCCTTAGGGTTCCCTGGAGCACAGTTTGAAAATCGTTATCTTAAATTATTCCTAAATGAAATTCAGCTGCCGCTTTTAAAAATTTCCTCCGGATTTTCTTTCTCCTGGTTCATGTTGTACCCTGTTTTCTTTCCTTCACCGTTGAATATTAGTGATGCTTTGGCGTGGCTGGAGTTTAATCCTAATCCACTGACATATTTGGCCAGAGATTTGGAGTGTGAATAGGATAGTCTCAGAACTGTAATGAAACTTCAAAGAATTGAAGTGCCCCCTCTTCTTACGCTCTATGCTTTATAAAAATCACCAGAACCTCGTCAAAACTGTGGGCTCCCAGACTGCATCTGCAGGGGTACCATATCAGTGAGTAGATCTGCTGCAGGAACCTGAAAGTCTGTATTTTTAGTAACAGCTCAGGGATGTCATGTATATGGCCTGCATAAATATTATTTTGAAGGAAATGTTGTAGGCAGCTGCGTCACCTTAAGGAGCTTGACGCCGCCCAGACAGCAGCACGCCCGTTATCCAGAGTCTGGCTACACTCTGTGCCACCTTGGTCGTCTGAGTAACGGCCCCCAAGCAGAAGTTTCTCCCATCCCTTTGACTCTGTAGTGGAAGTGAGTGGGTTGCCGAATGGAAGGTCACCACCAGCAGGGGGAAGAAGGCAGGTGCGTCATGCCAAAGCCCCCGGCCCGTGCCACTCAGCCGTGTCGCGTCTCTAGTGATGATAATGTTCACGAGTTGGTGTTTGCAGTAAGCTTGAATTGTCACATAAGGTTAGAAAATACTCTGCATAAAGGTCAGTAAGCAAGGTGTTTTAGGGAGATTTAAGTGAGAGATATCTAAGCCACCGTCATTCTAAAAGAGGCAGCGGGGACATAGAATACTTTAGCCCTGGACAGATGATGGGTCAAGGGAAATGTGAACCCATTTGGCTTATACTACACAGATACAGGTTTTGTCCAGATAACCGTAGGGAACCCTGGGTAGATAACAGACGGTGACCTTTTCTTGTATTTCAGGTGTCCGCTTTTAATGCCAGTTACTCGGATTCCGGACTGTTTGGGATTTACACTATCTCGCAGGCTGCATCTGCCGGAGATGTAAGTTACACACTCACCGACTCACAGGGTTTTCCCCCACTCACACGTTTTCAGTTTAAACATGGAACGTTTGGATGCCATTATTTATCACAGCTCTGTGATAGCACTTAAAGAGTATCTGCTGTGCAGGAAACCTAAAAACGTATGCCAGTGCTTCCAGAAAAGAGGCAGGAATGTGTCCTTGATGTCGTGGTTCTGGTTGGAGAGGTGGCAGTGCGCTGTCTCTGGGGACCTGAATTGAGAACTCAGGTGAGGTCCAGTCAGGGTCACACGAACGACTGCAGAAGAAAACGAGCTCGCGTTCTGGGAGACACCCAGTGTGACGAAGGAAAACAGGAAGAAGAAGAGAAACGATATAGTTGGCAGGTCAGAGAGAGCGTGATTTATGCCATTTGCTCTACTCTGGGTTGATGTCCCTTTAGCTGCCGCAGAGAGGCCCGGTAGATCTAGCAGATAGGGACAGCACTGGTGACGACATTACACCAGAATGTCGAGAGTAAACTGAAATGTGCAGTTAAGGAGCGAAGGAGAGGGAAGACGTGCAGGTCGGTGCTGGGGCTGGAGCGCAGCCTTGCAGGGGGGTGGGTGGTGGCTTGAGGAAGGGTGACACTGGGCGGAGTGTTGGGGCAGACGTCGGAGATGGAAAACTGAGTGCGTGGGTGGGCGTGATGTCCAGGTGGATGTCTCAGCCAGGGAAGTGTCCCCAGGGGGCAGGTGGCCAAGGCGCATTTGAGAGGAGGAGAAGGGAGGACCTTTAAAGAAAATGACGTGGTTTGGGACAGACGACTAGACAGACACAGACTCAGCCGCAGAGACGAGTGACCACAGGTGCACGGTACAGACAGGTCTGGCTTGCAGCTTTCCTTCACACATGGTCCTTCCTCGCCTGAGCGGGAAACGGGGGAGGCGAGTATACGGTCAATCCCAGGCTGAAGGCCTGCAAAGTAGGCGGCTCAGGAGGGCGAGGGGCTGGCGAGGGGCTGGGACACTGGCAAGAGTGCGCGAGCGAAGATGCACGGAGCAGGCACCTGGCAACGGAGAGAGTGGACCAGCCAAGGAGCTAGAGATCCTGATGAGTGGGCGGACGAGGACGGCGTGATTCAAGCCCAGGTCGGGGTCTCAAAGTGCAGTCAAGCCCAGGTCGGGGTCTCAAAGTGCAGGGCGTCAGAGGCGGAGCGGATCGAGGAGATAGGCAGCTAACACGAAGGGGAAACGAGGGCCTGGAACTCGGCGAATGGGGGAACCGTAGCAAAGTCGGGATGGAGAGAACCAGGGGCCACGCGCAGTAACGTGTGTACTCAGCAGATGTTTACCAAGTACTCATCCACGTCCCTGGGCCCTGATTCCTTCGTGACCGCAGCTCCCCCAAGTCTGGACAGACTCACAGATCCACCATCTAGGTGACTAGTTTCTTAGTGACTAGTAAGAGATAGCAGTATTCATCGCTTGACGCTTTGAGAGTCTGGGGAAATTTTAGAATAAGTGCTTATTCTTTATAGGTGATTCTAAGTCTGTCGTTTGCTTTTCCCAACCCCTGCTGCCATCCTCTGCCACAAATTTTTGTAAGAAGCTTCGCTACTCGTATACTGTAAGCTGTACGAACGGCTGTTTTGTGGAACGCTGGAAGAGTAAAGAACACGGAGTGACTTAGGAATTCAGATGCACACGCTGCTGTTGCTCTGCAGCTAAGCTCCGTCTTGCGTGTTTGCCTCCGTGGGGGAGCGTTTGGTTGCTGCAGGAGGCCGGGACTGGTCATAGACGACCATCTCTTCATTGTCTCTCCTAGGTGATCAAGGCTGCCTACAGCCAAGTGAAAACAATCGCTCAAGGAAACCTCCCCAGTGCAAATGTCCAGGCAGCCAAGTGAGTTCTAGTACTAGCTGTGTGTTCTGTATTTCAGGCATTTGAAAGCTGTATTTTTTCTGGTTAGAACAACGTTGTAATACGTGCACAAAAGGATTGAAAGCTACAGAAAAGTGTTTTTTAAAAAGGGGAAGCAGACCCATATCCTACTAGCAAAGATATAAAAAATTGTTAACATTTTGCTAATTTTCTTAACCATTTTAAACATTTTAAATGTGCTTATTAATATCATGTACATGCTTATATCTAATAGGTGTTCTAGAAATTTGAAAACTATAGTAAAAAAGACAAAAATGATTTTTCTTTTCCTACCAGTGATTACTCTTTTTTAAGATTATAATGATGTTTCTCCCTTTATTCAGATTACTAAAAATGTGTTATAAACCATATTAATTGGTGTATCCAAATATACTTACTGGACATTTTCTGCACTTTGAAATTATAAACTATAAAAGTTGTCTTTGCACTTTAAACTTTTTTTGCACTCAAAACAGTTTTGTATTTCATATTGCTTTCTTGGTATAGAGTCCCACTGGGTCAGAAGTCACAAACATAATGAAAGGCTCTGCTTTAAAATGTGTGTGTGTTTATATAATATTTTTATATTTAAAAGTCACAATGTAAAAAGGCTGTACCAGTTTATAATCATACCACCAGTATATGAGTACCATGACTGCTGGCAATTTCTTTTTTTCCTCTTTAATGATTTGATAGACCAAAAAAAGATATCTGATTCAAAGGTTGAAATATTCGTCTCTTATTTGGTGATTTTTAAATTCCCACTCCCCTCTCATCGAAAGTGCTAACGACAGCTCTCTGTAGTTCTGGGAGTTTAACTAAAAGAGACAGACTTGGGTCAGAGTTGGAAATCAGCTTGCTTTTTCATGCAGCAGCTTAAAACATTCAAGTCTGACTTCATCCATTTAGGACAAAATGTGGATCCTGAACCTCAAATGGCCTTGATCATAAGTAATGCCCACAGGCAAGTATACAGCCCGGGAGGGGACACAGTCTGGTCCCGTTCACGTCACCACTTCTGTTACACTGAACACCCGAAGCAGTCGCCTGCCTCGACAGTGGCAGCGCGGTTCATTAAATGTGGCGTCTGTGGAGCCAGGGGCTGAGGGTGCCGCTGTGGGTGACTGCACCAGACGCACACCATGGTGAAGCGGATTGAAACACTGGGTTTACTGAAGAAAACTCTTTCAAATCCAATTTATTTAAGAAAATATATTTTCTTATTTAATAAGCATAGCATACTTTTTACAAGGTATAGCAACATGTAGAAAATGGAATTTCAGTTTTCAGTGTCAGGAATGTTTGTTTTCTGCTATTCTGATGGAGCTGATATTTTTTCCTGCAAGGCGCTTAGTCTTCCTATAGTGAGAGGGAGTGAGGTGTCGCTGCTGAGGGGCGAGCTAGTAATCTCTGGGTAAAGTTTACTGCACGTAAAATCTTTTTAAAATGAAGCTGACAGTGTGGTAAAATTGCCTCATTAAATCGTAATTATGTTTAAATGGAAGTATTGCCACAAAGAGGATAGTTTATTTGAGAGGTAAATAACTCAAGCGCTTTATCGAACACCACTTTTTTCCTGGGAGAATTATGAATTGGATTTTGTTTTATTTCGATGCTTTTGTGCCCACATTTAAGCTACAGGGACTTATAAGACCTATACTGTCCTTACCCACCTGCCTGCTCCGTATGTCCTACCTCAGTGAGACAGATCCTAGCAAAAAATGGGGCTGGGTCTGGGATAGCTACAGAATTAGCACACAATATTCGGCTAAGTGGACCCTGCCTTCATAACCTATGTGGTTATTTTTCTTTAATAGAAATGCCTGAAATTATCACCAAAATCGTATCGGGAGACAAGAGTTAACTTCACTAATCAGAATTTCACATTACAGTAGTTTTAACTACATCTAAGTTCTAGTCCAAAATCCAAAGGCAATCTGTTGGATTTTCAGTATAATCTTATTTTTACAACTTTCTAAATGATAACGTAAATAATAAAATAGTTGAACTGAAGAAATTAGAATGAAGGTCTTTAGCACTATAAGATTTCAAAGTTATGAATTTGCATATTTACCAAAACATTTTTGAGAGTTTGGGAACGTACTTATAAGATTTCCTGGCTCTGTAAAACTGGCTTCTACCTTTACATCTTCACGGACAGGAACAAGCTGAAAGCTGGGTACCTGATGTCAGTGGAGTCCTCTGACGGTTTCCTGGATGAGATCGGGTCCCAGGCTCTCGTCGCTGGTTCCTACATGCCACCATCCGCGGTCCTTCAGCAGATTGACTCTGTAGCTGACGCTGATGTCATAAGTGTAAGCAAACGAAAACTTAGGATTTAACATCAAATAACTCGACCTTAACGATCCGGTTTCGGAAGGAGTGCATGCGCTTCCGCGGGCCGCCTGTCGGCCTTGTGCTGCCTGGTGCCGTGTGGCCGGTGCGGAGGCAGGAGGGCTCATCGCTGTCAGGTCTGCAGGTCACTTCCTCGTCAGCTCAGGGAACGTGCGTCTTCCTCATTCAGCTAGGTGACCATCGCGTTAAAGCAGTTTAAGTTCTTAGGGGTCAAGAAGAGTCGAATATTGGCAGTTTCTCGATTCAGCCTGATAGCCAAGTTCGTTCTTTATCCTTTTCACTCCCGAGAAATAAACCCTTATCTTGCCAATCCTTCCGAGGCCGGCATCTCGAGATGTCTTTCATCTTCTTAGCCTAAGACGTTCTCCTGCTCTTGCTGTATTTTTTTTCACATATATTATTTCCTACAGGATGAGTTGTTTTGAGGGCCAGGAACATGTCTTCTCCCTCCTCTCTGTGTCCCTGACCCTGCCAAACAAGTTCATTAAACAAAAGCGCAGCCCTCTCCAAGGCCGACGCTGCCCTATCTCGCATGTCATGGAGCTTTTAACAGCGACCCTCATGGCTAAAGCACCACAACCTGCTCGGTCACTCATGGTGGAACATTCAGTGGAACGGCCGCGCTTCGCCTGCTGTCCTGTCATAGATGAGAATAAGGCCCGACCCTCTTGTGGTTAATTGTCACAAGAGGCTGTTACAGAATTGCTGGCTTAGAATGTCACGTCCATAAACTCTTGAAATAACAATAAGTTTATGTGCTTGATAACGCATTTTCTTATTTCTATTAACTTTCTGTCTTTTTTGTTTGTTTTCTTAAAGGCTGCAAAGAAGTTTGTTTCTGGCCAGAAGTCAATGGCAGCGAGTGGAAATCTGGGACATACACCCTTTGTCGATGAGTTGTAACCCTGAAAACACATTGCAGGAGAGAGCTGGACATTTTCTCAACCCAAAGCAGCAAACACGTGCAAGTCAGAAGTCTCTAATATAACATTTGTCTTTTTTTTTTAATGAGAATGAAATATCTTAAAAAGTATAAATGCAGGTAATTGTCCCAGCTAACTTAAACTCAATAAAATATCCTATTTAAATGTTTTTCTTGTATTTCTTCTAACAAACAAGTAGTGTTATTTGTTGAAATCTTTGTTTTAGATGCTGTAAAGGAGAAACAGGGATAGAATAAGCATCAGCAACTTTTAAAGCTAAAACCAAGTAGCTGTCAGAGTGACTATTTCCAGGTTATCGCTGGTGGCTTTAAAAAAAAAAACACCTACAGCACCTGGTCTCCCTAAGCGGCCTCCCATCCAAGTACTAACCAGGCCCAACCCTGCTTAGCTTCCGAGATCAGACGGGATCGGGCACGTTTAGGGTGGCGTGGCCATAGACCGTTGGTGGCTTTTTAAAATAACAGCAGTTAAAAGTCGCTCCTTTTGGGTAGGAACAGTTAAATGGTCTGGGCTGTACTCCCCTTGTGTCTTTTTTGCCATAGAGAGATTTCTGAAAACAAATTCCCCATCAGTCACGTCCTGCATCTGCTTTATCCTCTTTGTGGCAGTTTCGTTCTCTCCCATCTCCTTCTCCTTCATCTGTTTCTATCCTCTTTCGAGTAAACTATCAACTCAGCATTCAAAGTAAAAGTAGGGCAGAAAAGGGGAAAAAAAATTCTAGTGGGAATAACTAGCCAAAAAATCTCTCTCTGCTACATAAGAAGGGTACTTGAAGTTTGTAAAACAAGACAAAGTATCTAAATAACAAGGAGGTACTTACCTTAAAACGTGACACTCCCCGCCGTGCTCACACGCTCATACTCACACGGGGTTGCTCTGCTGCGTTTTCTAAAAGGAGACACCCTTCTGGGAAAGGGACGTCTTAGTGATCTCAGTGATGCTGCTATTTTGAGAATAAAGTTTGTGAGGCCTGCGACACCCCAGGGCAGTCTTTGGCTGTCGCGGCGAAAGAGGTCCAAAGGCTTCAGACCGTCGTGCAAGAGACCTCGTCAGTCAGCACACACTCCTGTAAGCAGAGCGAGGCCGTAACGGGCCGCGCCCAAAACCAGGCTGTCCTCCAGGGACCTGCCCCGTGATGGCAGATTCGCCAACTACTGCTTCGCGGGCTTTTGTGCAGGCTGACCCTTGCCCTTTTCGGCCTGGGCATAGTCTTCCAGCCAGAAGGCGTCTGAGGCGGAGGAGCCGGAGGAGGAGGAGCTGTCCTTGTCGCGCTTCACCATGGTCCAGTACGGGGAGGGCGCCCTCACGTCCTTCTTGTGGTCTCTGTGAATGACCACGTCGCAGTCGGTGTTCTTCCCCACGCTGACAGTGTGGCTCTTCTTCCTGTAGCTGTGCCATTCTCTGGAGATGGACATGGGCCTCCGCGCAGGGCTCTGCCCGGGGGCCTGCGGAGACTTGTAATACTTGAGTTTTTTATCTGAAACTACATCTTCGGTGTCGCTGCTGGTGCAAGGGTTGTCTTTGGTCTGCCCAGTTGTCTGTTTTGGGCTGTGAAAAGAAAGGCAAACGGAAAGGATTCTCAGCGTCTGAGCATTCACTGTCCCCTAACAAGACGTCTTACGACCTGCTATGGCTCATAAAAGGGCACCGATAAGTCAAACTGCCTTAGATGACTTCACATCACTTTAAAAAGCTTTGCACAGCCTTACACCAGCCTGTCCGTCTCCCCCGAGGAACTCGAACCTCATGGGTCCTCAGCAGTCGGCAGTAACAATATTACCAGTTGACAAGGGGGTCGGTAAACAGTGCCCTGCAGTATGCTAGTCACAGGTAACTGAGTTTTTTTTTTTCTTCCTAAGCACCATTCTTTGCCTCTCTTTCGGGTTTAAAGTGTGGATTTGTAGAACACCCTTCGACCCAGAAGTGTCTCGTCATTCACTATTCCCCCTGTTGCTGTCCAGAAGTTTTTAAGGTTTTTTTGTAACTTGCCTCAACCCTCGACGTCGTTGATCGTTGAACCTGGGACGATGCCTGCACTGTCTGCCACTGCCATTCCTTCCCTAAACAGATGCTGTCACCCGCCCCCCAGCCTGGTGCTGTTGCCCAGGAGATCCCAAACTAGATCCTTGGGATAACGAACTTCAGGTACCTTCTGTCCTGCTCAAAGGACACAAGAAGCTTTCTTCCCCGCCTGTCAGACTCGCTAGGATGTCACTGACATCCTCGGAGGTCTGCCTGTTTTGCTGGCTCCCAGAATCTGAACAAAAGTTTCCTAAAGTGTCTCTCTTCTGGTGATATGCAATTAGTATTTAATTGTTTTTTACTGAGCGCCTCTGCTAGTCTTAAATTGTGTGATTTTCTTCGATCCTTGATTTAGTGCTGTACAGGGAGAGTCAGAAGATCTAAGGACGAGAATGACGCCTGCAGACGCGCCCGAGCCTTCCTGAACAGCACACGAGTGAAAAAAAAAATCCAAGGTACTTCCTTCCCGTTTCAGACTGCAAAGGGTATGCCGTGTAACTATTAGGGGACCGTACAGGACAGGTGGCGGGGCCAGGCTCTTTTAAGCTGGCATTAGAAAAGCCACAAGCCAGCAGAGTCAGGGGTGGCGGAAACGGTTCTTGTGCCATCAGGCCACCCAAGCATATGTGGGGCCTTCTCTGCAGTATACGCACGGTGCCGTTTCTCCTGGGACAGGCCATACCAGCCTCGTGACAGGAGCCTTTTCCCTGGCCCTGTACACCGGTTACCAAGGCGCCCTGGACATGAGCACTTGACTTAACCAAGAAAGGAGTCAGAATGTGCTCCGTGGTATTACTAAGTTTTAGCCTCGGACTTAAGTTGTGCTATTCTGTGTTTATTTTCGTTTCTGAACAGTTTGTCATCTTTAGATTTTAATATTCTGAATCTCGAACTCTAATCAAAATGCTTAGAACGTCGTCGTTCTACACGCAAATGGTTAAGTGCTCAGGCTTGAGAGCTGTGCCACTTAGCCCTGGGACCAATGACGGCAAGTTTACATGTTCCTCTTTGGGCTTCAGTTTTCTCCTATGGAAAATGAGGATAATCAAAGAGTCGCATGAGGACTAAGGGATGTGATGCCAGTGCCAGCCCCATCCCACCCCCACCCCCCGGGGCATGGTGAGCAAGTGTTCACAGTCACCATTAGTGATTTTCAACCAAATCGGGCTTGGTTTGGTTGTTGGGGAAAACAATCCCCCAGCCTGTGCCTGATTTGACGGGGGCAGCTGCTGCCCAGCTCTAGGCCACTGTCACCAGGGGAAGGCAAGCTCATCTGATTTTTCAGGAGAAACCACAGATGCAGAGTCTTCCCATGAAATCTGAGGATTGTAAATTTGGAAACTAATTCAAATGTGTTTCATTTAAAAAAATTTTTTTTTTTTTGAAATATACAGAAAAAGACAAAAAAAAACAAAGTTTAGTGAAAAAAAATTATAAACACTTGGTAGCCACCACCCAAGTCAAGAAATGGCGTTTTCCTGGCCCCTAGCAGAGCCCCCGTGTGTCCTCCCTGCTCTCCTGACTGTTTAAAACGCCGTGGAGACGGACAAAGCGCATCCGTGGGCCGTACCAGTCCCTGGGGCCACAAGTGGAATATGTGCGGTAATGTCTGCGCAGTGCGGGCCGTGTCTGTTCTCGGTAAGTTCCCCAGGCTGAATCTCGGAGCCCGTCCCGGGAGGTGCAGGTGCACAGCTGCACAGCTGGTGTCGGGACTAGGAAGGCCCTGCCTCCCATCGGGGCACCGAGCTTCACGTGGGGGGTGGACATGTCGGTGCTCTACAGAACCTCCTCCCTGCCTGCCCCGGACCCGGGCAGGTGACGACGGGTAAACCTCGCAGAGACCCAGTGCTTTGCCCGAGGGACAAGGCTGGATTTCGGTTTTCATTCACTGAATGAATGAGCCCTCGAGCACAGGAAGTCCTGTGGCAACACAGTCAACAACCGGTCCCACGGATGATTTAACTGAAATTGGGATGAATGCACTGAAGGAGAGCCGGTGCCAGGAGAGCACGTGCGGGTGGGCCTGGCTGCTACGACACGACCTCTAGGAAAGCCTGGAGGTTTGCCCTGGGCGCCTGCACGGAGGAGGGATGGCAGGGTCCCAAGCCTGGTGTGGACGGAAGAGCAAAGGCAAAGAGCCTCACAAGGTAAAGCAGCCGGAAGGCAGAGTGGGTGTTGGGGGAGCGGGGCAAGCGGGGCTGGACCAACGGTTCCGCCTTGATGCCCTGAGAACAAAGCAGGTCTTCAAGACTTTGAGCAGGCACCTCAGATCCCATTCGCATTGTAAAAGGGTCATTCTCTGTAGAGAATGAACAGGGGACAAGAGTAGCTAGAGGGAGACAACAAAATGGTGGCCTGGACTGGGGTGATGGTCATGGCCGGAGAGATGGTCAGACGGAAAAACGACAGGTCTTAGCAAGTGCTGGGGAGCAGGGGAGCGAGGAGACAGAAATCAAGTACACCCCCTGAATTTCTGACTTGTCCGGCTAGGCAGATAGCCCCCCAGGAAGACGGGGCTGCTGGAAGATCGGAGGTGACTTCTGACTTTAAACATAATGAGTTTGAGGGGTTTATGATACCTCCACATGGAGATGTCGAGTAGGCATTTAAATATACAAGTTTAGACATCAAAGTTTTGAAAATTCTGAGTGTGTGGATAACGATGGAGGCCGCGGACATCGTGGATGTCGCCTAGGATATCGAGAGGAGAGAGCGGAAGACTGACCCTGGAGGACCCCCAAGGCTGAGTAAGACCAAGAGGAAGTGCCCGGAGGTCACAGGAAAACCGTGGAGACCGGGCAGGACGACGCTCCCCCAAGAGTGAGGCTGGGCGGCTGGGCCGCGCCCGGTGCTTCTCAGGAGCCGAGCAGCACGAAGGTGCTGGGGACGCTGGGACAGGCCTCTTGTCCAGCGACGGAAGCCAGGCCGAGGCTAAAGTTGGCCGAGGAGGCCAGGGGATGGGGCGTCCATACAACCCTCCACGAGTTTGGGATCAGCGGGCAGGACGGTGGCTGGAGGGGTGGGGACAGGAGAGGCGTCCAGGCGGGGTTTGCTGGGATGGCAGCGGCCTACAAGGGCTTGGATGTTATTGGGAGGGATCCAGAGAGGAAGTAGGGTGCCCGGCACGTACGCAAGGGCCGACGGAAAGGGGGCCCAGTGCGTGTACGTGCAGCGGCAGAGCGCTCAGCGGACGGGTGGTTAACTCTGGGTCTGAGGCTCATTCTTTCTCATATTAGGCCCTGCAGATTGTCCTTTCCGAAAAGATTTAGAAAGCCACTGAAGAGCTGTCACCAGTCCTCCCCACCATGGGCCATGCGACAGCCCCCACAGTCAACCCAGACCCTGGGGGCTCCTGCGGTGTGACAGAGGCTGCCTAACGTGAAGCACTCACCGCGTGACTGGGAATTTGGTCTCAGGGATTAAATCGTATCTCTCTTGCCACTCCTGGGGTATGTTGATGAAATCTTGGTAAGCCTTGATCTGTAGCACTGTTCCTGTGGTGGTGTGTTGCAAAAGCTTCAGGAATTCTCGAAGCGTGTATCCTAACACGTTGGCATGGCCAACGCTGATCAGAACATCACCTGCAGAAGGAGAAAGTTAGCAGTAGCGTTAAGGTAGTGACTTAAAAGGTCGTGCCCCTTCCAGCTTTCTCGGGAGGAGCCTCATCTTCTGTGTTCAGATTGTCGGTGCATTTGGAACCAAAACCAGGCTTCAGCCTTTGTTCAATAAAAAATGACCATCCCAGCGGCATGAGCGCCCTTTGCACAATAAATACATGCAAGTTGTTGCTTCATAGCTGCGTAATGGTAGAGGTCATGTCGTCTTTTTCTGAAGTCCTTGGTGCGACGGGCTGTACCATTTGTAACCTGAAGCATCTTTTAGGATTCTAAAACTGCATTTGTTTCAAATAAAATGAATGGCTATTCCTAATAAAGAAAAAGCCCCTCACACCGAGTGATGAGTAAGTGATGTCCTTCCTAGCATACCTGCCGGGCCGTTTCCAGCGCCCTCCACGGTAAGCGGGCCGGAGGAAACGCCAGGCTTTCACTTTCGTCTTCCGCCCTTGCACAGTGTTGGCCGAGCAAGCGACGGCAGGAAGCCCCGGGCGATGAGCAGCTTTAATTAAAGTAGGATGTGCGTGCAGGGAGCATGTCGGATCGCAGGAATGTGACAGCGACGTCCTACTCAGGGCACAAACCCCCAGCACGCAGGAAGAAAGCGCATCCTGACAGCAAGCCCCCACGCCCCGAGCTGGATGCTAAAAAGACCAGCTACTCACTTGCGCCCGCCTCCCCGCCCGCAGCAGCAAGGGCATGGGCTAGATCGGTCATGGGCACCGCCCCGGCTGGGTCACGGCCTGGGGCAGGCGCTCTCACCCGCCTCCCGTGGCCCTCGTTCTCACCCCTGCCCAAGCCTGGTTCTCCAGCCCTCCTGGGAGCTCCTTTGGACTCCGTGTTCTAAATTCGGTGCCTTAACGGACTCTGTTCTGTTCCTCGAGAACCCTGACTGCTCCCAGGTGCCCAGTGAGAGACAATGGAGTGCAGAGAGGTGGCCTTTTGAGGACAGACGCGCAATGGGTAAAATCTCGGTCTTCGGATCTCACCAGCACTAACATCCTGCCCAACGGTCACGGAGACCTGATAACCCTAGATGAAGGCACTCCAACATGGTCCCAAAGGATGGGTTCCCTGCTGTACGTGGGAAGCTTGCGACCCCTCAACCACCCTCATTCCAAGACGGCTAAAGCCTAACCTCAGAGGACAAGGGTCAAGGTCAAGCACCTCCCCAGTCCTGTACCCATGCGCTGTGACTGGGGAGTACACCAATCCCAAAGGACCGCCAGCGACACATTCCCGTAGTGCTCCATCCTATCAGAAATGGAAGTTCCCCATAGCGAAGAGAATGAACACTCAGAAAGGTGGAGAAAACCTTCTCTCTGCGTCTTGAAAAGTAACCGAGGGCAAAACCAAGCCAGTCCCTGCCGCGAACCAGAGAATGAAACAAGGCTGCTTTGTCCCAGCTGCCTGCATGGCTGCGGCCCAGTGGAGGTTAACGACGCCGCGGAACACTCACGCGGCGGGCTACTTGTCTGATGTGAAAAGGAGCGTTTGTTTACAGCCGAACGCTGCGGCTCGACATTCTGCTTAATTATGTTGTTGAAGGATGACTTATCAAGAGGGCAGAAAATAAACAGGCTGGTTCCCTGCCCGTCCTGGCCGTAAACCAAACGTGTTACTGTGTGCATGTGATCGCTGTGGCAAGGGACATGAACACCCCCTTCCTAAAGAAACGCCAGTCCGGTGTTCATGAACACCCCCCTCACCTCATCACACAGGCCTGCTCCTGTTTTCATAGGCTGCAGGAACCACATCATATAAACTTTGTTTCAGTTACCTATATTAAATCGATTTTGCAGCAGCCAAGCCACTGTCGAAAAATAGATTTACTTATTTGTGTTTCTCCGTCTCTCTCAAGTAGGCCATAAGTGCCAAAAGCTCCATGTGGTTAGAGACCACGTGTGCTGAGCTCACCATAGTAGCCCGGTGCCTCGCAGGATGCCCGCGCTGGCTGGCATTCAGGAGACAGTCACTCGGGGTGGCAGCCAGTACGTGACTAGTATTTACCATCAAAGCTTTTTTAATTTCTTCTGGATTCCAGAGTTTGTTAAAGCCATACTGGCTAAAGGAATTTCAAGTTTAGCCAAAAGAAACCAACCCTGAACTAAATTAGAAAATCAAGACGAAACCCTATTATAAAATCAAGATGAAACCCAAAAGAGAGTTTAAAGCACATGGATGATAATGAGGCCAGGAAGGAATGGGGTCAAAGAAATAGCAGGTTTCTAGGACTGTCACCTCCAAATCTCAAGCACTGCCAAAGAACCAAATTCGGTCTCTGAAGCCGAGACTCTGGAGAGAAGCGGCTGACTCGTCAGGAAGAGATTTGGGGCGCTGGCCTTCCTTAGTGCCCAAGGTGTGGGCTTTCTAGGCAGATGTGGTTCAAGCTCCAGCTCCGACTGCTTGGCTTTGTGTGGTGAACAAGTTACTTCATCTGTCTAAGCCCCTTCCTGTCATCGTCTACTTTCCAGGGGTGTCGCAAAGGTAAATTAGATGATAGATGTGGAAACACCTTGCACAATACCTGGGATGAACTCATCACGCGTGGGGTGCTTTGGTCTGGAAGGTCCACAGCTCTGTGGTCCCCAGCACCGAGGAGTGATGCTGGATTTGCAGGTGAGGTGAACTGTGTCGGGACAGTGTCCTACATCTACTTCCTTCTTTAATCCACTGCTGCTAAGCCTTGCTGCCATTAGAGTCACCCGAGGAGCTTCCAACCCATGGACTGCGCTTTCCCCAACCTCAAACCAGTTGAATCAGAACCTCTGGGGGAGATGAGGCTCAGGCATCCTGGTGTCGCAAGCTCCCCAGGTGATTCTGACAGGTACCTGGAGTTGCAAACCAGTGGTTTAATCCGCTGGGGCTCCTGTGCCATGATCATTTTTATTAAGAAAAAAAAAGACACGCGTCGAGAGGATCTCCAAGCAAGAACAGCCGAGGGGAGTGATGGCCAGTATTTTGACAGCACTGTAGTTTTCAAAGCACTTTCATGAAACTCACCAAATCCCAGCAACCTCTGACCAAGGGGGTACTAATCCAACTTAGAGACGAGGTGACCGAGGCCTGGGAAGTTAAAGGACTTGGTCACAGGTCACAGAACCAGAGTGGCAGAGCCCGGGCCTGCTCTCGGGCCTGCTCACACGGGGTGATCCCCCCACCACACCAGCGCCCAGTGCTAAGCGGGCACGGAGGAAACGCCTTTGACCTGGGCGGGAAATTCACCCGCCCGAGGACGGTAAGCGGGGTGGCGTTGACGCAGCTGCGGGTCTAACTCCGAGGGTGCAAGGCCGCTCAACTCCTGGGCAGGTCAGTAACTCTCTGAAATCCTTCCCCACAAGACCATAAACGCTAAGGATGCCAGAGACAAGAGGTCTTGTCCCTCATAGCGCCAGGAGTTCTGGGGTGACTCTGCCTGCGTTCACATCCCCCAGGGCCGAAACTGGACGGGGAACTCCCTCCCTCTCACTGAGCCTCAGTCTCCTCACCGACAAAAGGGGGTGATAACAGTGCCTACCCAGAGGGTTGTCAGAATTCACAACAGTGAGGGTCACATACGGGACGATGGCTACGTGGCCTTTAGCCCTCCAACAGTGTCTCCATCGGCATCACGGTCACACCGAACCCTGATCACCTGAGTCTCCCTGAAGGCACTTGGGGGGCGGTGGGGGGACCCCCGTCACCTGGGTGGAGTTTCCCGTCCTTGGCGGCAGACCCCTTCTTGATGAGGTGGGTGATCTGGAGGTAGGGCCCGTGCTGGATGACGATCAGGCCCAGTCCCATGCTGCCCACGGTGAGTTTGGTCTCCAGAGTCTTGCTCAAGCTGTGTACAGATGACCTGCCCTGGAAGTTGACTGGCGGTCCTTTAGTAAAGAGAGGGAGCCGTGACTTAGTCCTTCGTCCAGATGGCGGCGTGACAGTGGGCACTGGGGTCCTACAGCCAGACCCCGAGGGCAGTCAACCTCTTATTCCTCAGTTTCCTCAGCAGTAAAGCGAGGACAACAAAGGTGTCCCACTGGGAGGGGCGTTATGGGAATTAAATGGGACAGTTAGAGGTGTTTGCATGGTTAACACACTGTGACTGTCTGATTAATATTGGTTACTATTATCCATTCACTCAACAAGTATTTACTGATTCGGGAAGTATTTCTTGCCCCCATGATCGTCCCACCTCGTGGAGGAGACACAGCAATCAGGCTCGTGTATACATGCCGAATAACAGCTGGAGCCAGGAGGACAAGTGCAGGAGACCAAGGTCGCCAGTGGGGAAGGCGGTCAGGCTTCACAGAGGAGGTAAAATTTGAACTGAGGTCGAAAGGGCCAATAGGAAGTATTTAGGCAAAGGTGGCAGAAGGGAGCACAGTCCGGAGACGCGAAGGAGCTGGAAGGGGACCAGTAGGGGCGGCCGGAAGGGCCAAGGCAGACACTCCTGCTGCCTCTGGCTTAGCTCACCACGAAAGCCACCGGGATTTCCACAGGACACGATTGATCTGCATCGGAAAAAACCTCCCCAGCTGCTGAGTGGAGCATGGATTGTGGGGTCCAGAGCAGAAATGGGAAACGAAAAGGTTACTGCAGTCCCCCGAGTTTGTCCTGGCAATGACAGTGGCCTTGCCGAGCAGGAAAAGAGCGTCTGGAGGAGAACCCGGGACAAAAGGGAGTGGGAGGGGTTCAGACGTTTCCTAGAGAACTAAGCCTGGCGAGAAAAGTTTCAAAGCCCCAGGGAGTGATTAATAACAGGTCATCTCCCAGAGAGGAGGCTGCTGGGGACACTCATTTTCAGGACACAGAAAACTTCTGGGGAAGATGTGCTGTATTCTGTGTTTTCCAGCATTTCACGCACATTATTCCTTAAGAACAAGTGACAAACTGCTACTTGCCGAGCCTTTGCCACATCCATGGGACTGGTGATTGGGGGGCTCAGGAGACCTCCCCAAGCAGAGCTAGGGGCTTCCCTGCTCCCCCATCCTGCTGTGGGCGGCTGGCCAGTTAAGCCTCCGACCTCACGGTCCCAAACCACAGGTGCTCTGTCTGCACAAGAAGGTGACCTGGTGTGCCATAGGCGCTGTCCGCGGAGGCTTCTCAGGATTATAGGAGCCACTGGGAGCAGGTCGTCCCTCCCTGGGCCTTGGCTCCCCAGCACACAGAGAAGTGACATCTTAGGCTGGGTCTGAGCACCAGCTTCGCTTGCAAATTGAATGTGCTTATGACATGATCCGTGTCTCAAAGACAGCAGGGTTAAGTGAAAGGTGCTGGACTCACCAGACTCCACACTAGGTCATTCCATTGTTATGACACTCTCCACGGAAAGGGACAAACTAGAGACGACAGATCGGGGAGTGGGGGGGTTCGGGGTTGGGGAAGGGGTTGGCGGCCAAGCGACAGCGCAGGGTCATTGGCATGTGCATGTGGGGGAACAGTTCCGCGACCTGACTGTAGTGGAGGTTCAACGTGGGCGTACGTTTGTCAGCACTCAGGGCTGCACCCCGAAAGCCGGCCCGGTGAACAAGCGACGTCCCCATTCCACAGAGGGGACGTGGGGAAGGCTTGGTCCCAGGGCCTCGCCCTCTCCCGCTCCCTGGTACCTTTCTTGATTTTCTTGGCCGGCTTCTCCATGGCCCCGGCAGGGCAGGCCGCAGCGGGGCCTCGCACAGCTCAAGCCCAAGCCCGAGCGGGTCCAACTGCCTGGAACCTCGGAGGGAGGAGCCAGCGCAATGCGATGCGCGGTGAGCAGGCCACGGCCCCGCCCCTCGGGTGGTCCCCGGGGCCGCTCCCGAGCTGGCCAGCAGTTCGGTCACCCCGAGGCCTCCGCGGACCCTCAAAAATGGAGTGTGACAGTTTGGGAGGGGGAAAACAAACCTGCGGGGACCAGCACAGCGCCTGGCTCCCAGGGGGTTCGCACCCACTCTTGGGAAATACTCCAGGAGCGGGGCGTGGAGGAAGCTCAGAGTGGGGCTCAGATGCTCAGACAAAGGGCCCACGGGAACGGCGAAGCTGGGACATCGCCCCTGGCCGCAGACTCCCCCGCCGCCTCCCGGTGATGGCATTTTAAAATATCATTTCGGCAACAGCCCTCGCGGCGCTGGAACTTCACTTTTTGTGTCGATGTTTTGAATGAGAAGAGGCCAAGGGTGGCCGGAAAAAAAATGAGTCACAGCTCGGGGAGAAATTAATTCTTCTTTTCTCTAACATCATCTGTCCTCCCACACTCAGTCACACGTGCGACAAATATTTATTGGAAGCCTGCTCCAGTTTGTGCTGGTGCTGGGGACACACCAGCAGACGAGGCAGACAAGGGCTGCTGTCTGGGAACTGAGAGTTAAAAAACAGATGAAGTGGGCAATTTTAGGAAAATATAAATTACCACAAAAGAATTTAGAGGAAATAAAAGACAGCGGATCGAGGTGTAGGCCCTGTCATCATCCCCACCGACGAGACAGGCCAAGCCGCCTGCATCCGTGCCTTCCAGGGAGTGCTAGCAGGTGTCAGGCACTGTGCGAAGACGTCCAGGTAAACCGGGGCAGGTCCCAGCGAATCCCGGCTGTCGCTATGGCCCCACCTGGACAGTAAACCAGGGCGGATTTCCTGTTGGATGGATCCTGGGTCGCAGAGGCTGGTACAGAGAGAAATGAACAATCGTCCCGTTCCCTGCTGCCACTCTCAACCTCAGGGAGTCTCCTGCAGGTGGCTCTTGTGACAGATGACCGGAGTCCTCCGGAACATCTGGAGGAGCGTCTGTCCAGATTCTAAGTTAGGTCCATTACAACGCATCCCGCTGCTCCGTTCTCCTACCGGAAGGGCCGCGGGGACAGCTTGTGGGAACGAAGCACGGCAGCCGTCGCGGTTCTGCAAGGGGAGTCTCGCATGTGGACGCCTGGCTCGCGGCCTCCACCGCCTTCCCTCCATCCCAGGCCCAAAACAGTCTGCAGAGCGAATGCCAAGGCACAGTGATTGGCGGAGTCGCAGGGTACAAACTCTCGGGACACTGTGCTCTACTGCCCAGATCCCCTTCGGGACTGAAGGGCCTGGTCCACAGCTCCTGGGAAGGTCGTGGGTAGGCTGACTGATCTCACCTGCCAGCCCTCTCAAGGAATTGTCCTTGGCTTAAGCGCCACCTCATCCAAGGTCGCGCCCCATTCTGGGGGGGCCTGCATCCAGCGCGGGTCCACGCAGGGATACTGGGGCTCGACCCCTCCACCCCAGCTTAGAACAACTATGAACAGCCATCCGCCTCAGAGCCTCCCGTGACTGCCCCACAGCCACGCTGCTCCCTCTGCCCGTTCCCGCTTCCTTCCCCCGCGGGCTGGATCCCGAGAGCATTTGCTGGAAACTTCCTGCACACCGATGGACCACCTCTTGTGTCGGCTCCAGCAGACACAGGCAGAAGCTGTTAACCTCTGGATTTGTCTCCTTTGTCATATCTAATCCCAGAAGCCCCTGGTGGCTACACACTCTGGGCCTGCAGTCAACCTGACCCCCAGGGAGGGTGTGTCTTTATCCCGTCAGGCCGAAGATACTCCCTAAAGAGAAGAGTGATCGCACAGTCCCCTCCATGGCTTTCCCAGAGGTCCCATCTGGAGTCGGCTTCTGCTGGGCCGAGGCCCGCCGTCCATCACGATGACGCACGCTGTGTTCACAGCCCTAAACAGTACACGATGGCTATTTATGACTCCAGCCGCCAGGACAGCTCCCTCCTGGGGGCCTGCTGTGTTCTCCTGTGTCCCCAGGGACTTTCTTCCTTAAGGAGCCTCGTGGCTCATCCTTTCTCTGAACAGAAGTCCCGGCTGCTTTGCTCAGGAGTGAATGCGAGGACACAGAGGCTCTACCACTGAAGCCAAGGTCAGGTGAGGGCAAGAGGCCCAGAGAGGTGACAGGGCTTTCCCAAGTTTGAGTCATCACACCACCTCTCCCTAACGCCTAGGGATTGCCTCTACTAAACTCTAGACGGACATACAGAGAAGGGAACTGATCTGTCCCACAGATCTTGGGGAGAGTTGGGACTTCGAAACACCAGGTATTGGAAGACAAGAGAGAACTATGGGGCTAAAAGCAGGATTAATGGGAACTCTGTAAACATAGTAATTGGTCCCTGCCCACCCCTCCCACCCCCATTGTCTGTTGTGATATAGAGCTATTAATCTGGTAAAAAAAGTTTTAAAGTTTTAAATTCCATACTGGTTTTTGTGCTCTAATCTTAAATCTGGAACCTTCTGTGGAGGGACAGAGGCAGCAGGGACTGGGAGGTGCTGCCTGGGTAGAGGAAGACTCTAAGCTAGCATTTTTTAAACATAAAAATCAAGTCAGCATCATTCCACTCAGTCGGAGTTAGAATAGGCAAACTGTTCCAAAATTTCACAGTTGATGGGATTCTCATTAACGGCCCGGAGGTGAGCATCAGTGGACATCATTTGAGAATTCACACCTGTATAGTCTGGAGTTTCTTGTATTACTGGGCAATAGAAACACCAGACAAGAAGCCAAGAATATGGCTCCATCAAAGTTCTCTATTACTTCAAAAAAAATTTTTAAAAAGTGAAGACCTCCTGTGTTACACATGTCTGAATTCCTGGAATATATAAATCAGTTTGTGCCAATTTCTGTGGCAGAAAAAATAAATGGTATGATAATTTTTTACAACTCTTCCCCCCCGTACCGCTGGAGAGACCAATGTTTGAACAGGAACATCCATAGACGAGCTGTCAAATCAGTGCTTATCCATCTATGTGGTGACACTGACCACTGCCTTTCTGCCAGGCTGTTGAACTGGGTGGAATTTGA